CCCTAAACCCTAAACCCCGAAAAGCCCTCCATCCCTTAAGCCTCTAGACCCCGGAAAGCCATCCGACTCGAAGTCCTAAAGCCCGTCGAGGACTCGTAAAGGAGGTGGACGACTGCCGCGCGATGGACAGGCCCCTAAGGGTTCTATTGAGGGTTCCTTTGAGGGTTCCTATGGGGTCCTCGGGTTTAGGGCGGAGGAAGGGGCTCGGGTGTTCTCCTGCACTTCGGAACTTTGGGCTTTTGGTTTCAGGTTTGTGCGGTTCTGTTATTCTTTCGTGTTTGAAGCTCTCGGGTTTGGGGCTTTAGGGTTTAGGTTCATGGTGTGTGGGGGTTTACGGCTTTTGGGGGTTTAGGGTCTAGGGTTTACCGGAAAAGCATTTGGAGTTCGGTTCTTCTATAATTATAGTGCCTGTGCAAGTCCGCTACATAGACATCCCCTAAATCCCACCAGTTGAGTAACCGATAGGAATAGACATACCCCTTGAAGGAAATGTCAAACGACGTTCTCTGGCGGGATGCTGATAAGGTACGTTTTCTGGGGCTACAGGAAATCCTGGAGCAACACGACCCATGGTCTAAGTCTTTAGCTTGCTGTGGCGCAGAGTGCCCGTAACCTAAAGCCTGCCCCCTCAGCTCCAACGTTCGACGGCAAGCTGTTAACACTAAACATATTATAGGGGAAAAATATTTTTCCCCTATAATATGTTGAGTACATAATTATCCCCCCCCAAAACTCTAGGCCCCAGACCCCAAAAACTTTGAGCCCTGAAGCCTTGACAACTTTGCACTTTACTGGGACCCCTTGCAGGGTCTATGTCGAACGCTTAGCCCCCGCGGTGCGAAAGTCATGTTCTTCTCTGAATCTTTCATTTAGGTCCCTGGTTGTATGGGTCTAAAGCCCGAAACCCTGGAACCTGTAAGCCCGAGAGCTTGTCCCGAGAGCTTGTATGAAATGCTCCAACGCCTAAGCCATGCCACCCTCGAGACCTCAGCCCCAACAACCCGAGCTGCGAAACTGTCAACCCAACCTGAATCCGAAAGCCGACAAAAGCTGCCATACAATAGAATATACTAATATACTTACGAATACTCATATTAAAGCTTATGCTAGTACTAGTACTACACACCATACAATACTTTTCTATACTCTACTATACTATACCATGCTATACTATACAGAACTATGCTAATACCACTGTATACCATACTGTACTACAACGTGACATAGCAGAACCGCTGTACATCGCCTATGAGATGCATGCAGAATGTTGGTCCCTAACCCTGAACCCTATAGTAAGCCCCAAGGCAATTGGGTTTCCATCTTTTGGGCTTCTACTGTATAACCCTAAAGCCTAAACCCTAAACCCTAAACCCTAAGTCCTAAATCCTAAACCCGAATGGAATTCCGGGGAGGCAGATCGAGGATGCTGTGCGACGGATGGAGATCCGGATCGAGAGGAGATGGGGCCCAAGCCCTTTAGGGTTTGAGGGTTTAGGGTTTAGGGTTTAGGGTTTAGGATGGTTTAGGGTTTAGGGTTTAGGGTTTGAGGTTTAGGGTTTAGGGTTTAGGGTTTAGGGTTTAGGGTCTAGGGTTTTTAGGATTTAGGGTTTGGGGGTTCGTTATTATCGTTTCCTTTTTGAAGCCCTTGAAGGGATTTGCATTATGGGGGCTCCTTACTTTGATGTCCTTACATACGTCCTGAAATTTTATAGGCCGATGGGCTTTGCGGGGTTTGGGTAGACCCTGAACCCTACCCATAGTCCCTAAAGTAGTTCCTTCTAGGGGTTCATATATAGAATCCTATAAGGTAGCCCTAAAAAGGAGCTACTTTGGGGCCTATGGGTAAACCCTAAACCTCAAGCAGCTGAGCAGTAGTATTCATTTTTGTCTTACAGGGTATGTGTATATGCGCGTGTATACATACGTATGGGTTTGGATAGCGGCGCCAAGACACAGAAACGAATAAACTGGCAACCCTGACCTGAGAACAGACATCAAGGTAAACGACCTTCTTAATGTCACAGGTCGTAGGGCCTCCGGGCTTTGAGGCTTTTGGGACAGTGACGACCGGCCCATCGGGTGTTCGGTCGAAGACTATACCGAAGGCAAAAAGGCTTAGGGTTAGGGTTTCGGGATCGAAAAGCCATGCAGAGTGCGAGGATAAAGAAGCGGAGGGGAACCGCAAACAATTTACGTCAGGATCTCCTCCGCAGCTGCGCAGTGCCTGGAAGGCTTCGAAGATGTTTTGCTTGGAAAGTGATCTCGTGCAGTTTCCAACTTCCAACCCTAATACCTTAATCCCTCAAGCCACTTAGCCCTAAACCCTCCAACCCAACACCTCAGAAAAACCCGAAACTTTAGAGATCCTAAACTCCTAAACCTAAACCCGAAACTCGAAACTCTAAACCCTAAGCCCGAAACTCTAAACCCTCAAACCCAATACTCCAGCAGTTGGAAAGCCGTAGCCAGTCCCACATGCTACGCAGCCTCAAAGCAAAAGCCGACATTCGACCCTGAAACCCTTAAGCCCTAATGCATCTCTAGAGACTCCTATAGGCCCTTGAGTAAGAACTCCCGGTAAGAGGCCTCGCCATAATTTGAGGCGGAGTCCTTAATGCAGAGATTTTTGGAGTGTCTCTTTGGGCATTGGAGGGCTTATGGTAACTAGGGTTGGGAGTACCCTCATTGGGTTTACGAGTCGATATACCTACAGCTACCCTACTTAGAACTCTACTTAACCAGGACCCCCCCCAAGTACCGGTTAATAGAGCCCTTTCGGTCCCTAAAAGTCATAGTGAGAATTTAGGGTACATTAGGGTTTAGGGTTTAGGGTTTAGGGTTTAGGGTTTAGGGTTTAGGGTTTAGTAAGACTTTTCATGGTGTTCGTCTGCTTCGGTGGGACTTGGCTACTCTTGACGCAGCACTATACTGCTACTGGTACAGC